AACCTTGAAGCTTCCAGTGTCTGCATGTGTGTCTGTGTGTGTGTGTGTGTGTCAGCATGGACGGGACAGACAGCGCGATCAGCAATGCGCCCAATGATGTTTAAAAGATCCCAAAGCGCAAGTCCATCTTTTCAGACGAACTGCAAAAGTTGCAACTGCAAAAAAATTTCCCTTAATCTGGTGTAACACTGACAGGTGATATGAATAACACTGATTATCTCTTCATCATGGCGCCTGTTAGTGAGTGGGATATATTAGGGAGCAAGTCAACATTATGTTGTTGGAGTTGATGTGTTGGAAGCCTGTAAAATGTGCAAGTGGAAGGATTTGTGCAGGTCTGAGAAAGACCAGATTGTGATGGTTAGACAAGTGGGTCAGACCATCTCCAACAAAGGAAAGAACAGTAAGGGAACTAGCATCAGGGCGTTCCGATCCAAAAAGTTCATGCTCGTTCTGATAAAAAGGTGTCAGAATACAGAGTCTATTGCAGTTTGTTGCACATGGGGCTGCATAGCTGCAGACCAGACATAGGTGCCCATGCTGATCCCTGTCCACTGCAGAAAGTGCCAACAGTGGACACGTGAGCATCGGAACTGCACAACGGAGCAATGGAAAAAGGTCGGGAAATGGTGGCCTGGTGTGATGAGTCTTGTTTTCTTTTACACATGGATGGCCGGGTGCATGTCAGTCGCTTACCTGAGAAACATGGGAAGAAGGCAAGCCAGCGGAGGCAGTCTGATGCTATGCACAATGTTCTGTTTGGAAACCTTAAGTCCTGCCATCCATGTGTACCGCCTACCTAAACATTATTGCAGACATTGGACGTCTCTTCATGGTCACAAAGCAAAAAAGGTTCAGGAATGATTTGAGGCTTCCAAATTTAAACTGCATATAATGTTCAGCCATAATAAATGTCGTCACATTATGTTATTTCATATACAAGAAATAGCCACAAATATCATGCTTTTTGCTGCCTTACCATTAATTTATCCTACTGCTATGGATTGAAAGGATTTTAATGATGCCAGTAGCAATCTTTCTCGATTTGCTTAATAATTCCAATTCAATTTTCTTTCTATGGGAGATTAAAACGTTCACAGATTTTCAGCAACACAACAGTTTTATTATCTCTGAGTCAGAGCGTGGTGTAGAAAACGGAGTAGAGAAGCAAGTTGGATGCGTTTCAGGTTTGCAAAAGGTTAGCGTCTATGAATTTGTTGTAATGGTTTTGCAGCTGTTAAAAAAAATCAGAGCCAGAAAATAATATAAGGATTTGATAAGCCCGGCGGCATGTAATACTTGTGTAGCTGTGTTCAGTTTTGTTGTACAGAGTTGAACTGACAGGATGTGACTCCAGGCGACTGAAATGAAACAGATTATTACACCGACAAAAATGATTTCTGTGAGTTTGAACATTTGTTGGAAATATTTGGCATGATGCGAATGCACAAGCTAATGAAATCTGTAGAACTGGACAAGATGTTTTTAGAAGTTTTAATGCAGAAATGACAGTCCTAATCAAGAATCACAAAGGACTGACTGCTATAACAAGTATGCGATGCAAGGTTATTGCAGTTAATTTAAACTAACTACAAACTAAAACTAGATGTGAAAAGAAATTATTTGGTTTTGTCTGATGAAGGACATGTTTATTGAGGCTCTGGGTATCTACATGGCTGTGATTTAACTGTTTTTAAAATGTTATGTATTTTAATCGTATAATAATAATAATAATAAAAAACACGTAAACTAATAAAAAATAAACTAAAACAAGAAAATCCACTCTGGGAACCACCTGGAAAAAAAACTGAATCAAAAACAAAAAGTCAAAAGCCAAAATAAAATAAAAATAAAAAACTATATTAGCTCTAATGTGATGCTCACAATTTGCAATGCAGCAGCAAAGTGACCAATAAAAGCAAATTAAAACTACATTAAGCTAAGTTCTGATGAGAAAACTAGACAGAAACAGAAACTTTAACAGGAAACCTCAGAGGCACATGATATACATAAAGAAATACTGATATTACAGTGTTAAAAAACAAATGCCTAGATTATGATTTAAGTAAATAAAACAGTTAAAAGTGTAAAACATAAACCACCACCATTTGAACACATTTCTAAGTACACACTTCCCCCCTCTAAACTGGCACTTGCTTGTCCAAACTTTGAGAACCCCTGATTCGCAGGAGGATCACTGCATTTTGTTTTATTTTCATTAACATCCCGACTACTTTGGAGTCAGAATTGTACGTCCTTTGGCATTTTGCAAGTCGGCATGAGTCTCAGTGATGGTACCTGAACAAAACACATTACTCTGCATAGTTGTAGCCTATATAGACCTGGTGTAAGAGGAACTGCTTACTGAGCATCTCTGCAAATGACTTCTTTTACAACATCTCATCCTACTGCCCAGAATGAGCGAGCAATATTTCATATAGAAAGTTTGAACTTGCATGCCTGTGTTTTTCTTGCTTCTCTTCACAGTTTTCTCTGTGACCTATATTTCTGCCACTGACACAAACCTAAAGGAGAAAACGGTGTCATAATCAAATAAGAAATATGTAAAAATGCAAAGGACCAACTGCAGAGACAAAGACTCAAACTTTTGCACTTTATGACTGCCATCTGATGCAGCTAAAGAACAGCCATCTCAGCTAGTACGCGTGCGAAGGGAGTCTGAGGAGGTTGTTCGATGGTTTATGGCAACTGTCAGATGCACTTCCATGCTCCCTCTCTTTCTTAAGCCCTGCTTCCATTAATCATCCTCATTTTCTGTGGACGTTAAAGACGTATCCTGCACCTGCAAAATGCTAAAGCACAAAAGGGGAAAGTGGGTGTGTGTGGTATGTGTGAAAGCTGGGGGCAGGAATTAGTCAAAGAGACAGGGGAGAAAATGGTTGTGCCCTTTAGTTTGACATTTTTGACCACAGCAACACACGTGCGCGAACACATTTTTGCTTTGGGGCCAAATTCTGACGGCGCAACACTAATGAGGGTAAATGTGTCTACTTTTTTCCTTTTTTTGCAGTCCTGTGCCTCCAGGTGTGAAGATGCTGTGTAATCAGAATTTGAAATGTCTTAGTTTTATGTTTTATCAACTATTATGATAAGATTTTAATCCTATAATTGAATTACTAAAATCCGTGAGCTAACATGAGGCTGCCCCCGCCCCAAGGATTTATTTCTAACAAGTAAAAGGTTAGATCCATTGTAAAATTGCCAATAAACAACCCACAAACAGAGCACATCTGCTCACCTAAACTTATAATGAGCAACGGTAGGCTACAAATAGTTCAAACAGGGTCCCCAAACTTTTAAAATTCTTCTCACTTTGAGTTTAAGGTATTCTAATAGCACTAAATCAAACAGCACTCACTGCCAGCATTTATTTTCTCAAGACTGGATCGTTGACTCTCTGGCATTAATGAGAAGCAACTTTCCAGTTTCCAGCTGGTTCCGAATTCAGCAGCTCTGCTTCTTACTGGTTTCTGCAGACAGACTTCTTACCTACGCTGGCTTAGCTCCACTGGCTTCCTGTGCATTTCTACAATTGATTTTCAGATTTTAATGATCGCTTTCAAAGCTCGTCTGGATCTGGCCACAAGGTACATAGAAGAACCATTTTTCTAATAAGAGCATGCTCACAGCCTTAGATCATGAAGAGACCTTTGGATCTTCATTTCTAGCATGGTGGTTTACACTTTTGCCTGATAAGCAAAAGATCACCAAAGTTTGACCACTAAAGGACACACAAATCCAGTTGGGGGTAATGTCAGGAATGGCATCAGGTGTTTATTTTAAAAAATATTTTTTTAAAGGGATTCTTTTACCTGTGATGTCTTCTGTCGTCTGGTTATTATCCTTTAGTTGTCTTGCGAGCTGCCTGCTCCAGCCCTCCATATATCTGACTTATTTTTTAATTCCTTTTGTAATATGTGTGTGTTGGGTGGGTAATATTAAATCTTTCACTAATCCACTGCAGTGTGATGTTGTTGCCTGTGATATAGGTAAGAATACAGAACAATGTGAGGCAGGTTGTTAAATGAAATCAACAGTTTTTACCATGTCTAGTGCTTAAAGATCAGTAGCTCAATAGTGAAGTCATGATCATGCACATTGGTGCATCGGTTAGCACTTTGGATTGAGATTTAAAAAAAAATCTTGATAAATGTTTGATTTGATTGGTTGATAGTAGGTTAGTCTTGTTCTACTGACCTTCATAAGTGAAATACATTTCTTTCCCAGGACTGCGTATAGTTGGCTAACAGGCCAATATTTTTCAGTCATTTGAGTACAGAATGAGTCATAACACACGTTTAATTATTCAGGGTAAAAGTTGTAAACTTGTAACATGAATTAAATCCCACAAACTTCATTACTTTTCAATTTAAAAGTTGGGCTTTTTTTAAAAATAACTTCAAACGAGCCAAATTGATTTCTGTGCTTTGGCAGTTGTGTTGCAGAGGATTCGGTCCGGTTCTGTGGGAATTTTCTGTCAATGCATTTTTTTGTTACGTTGCCAAAGCTCTGTGCACGGTGACAAAGGCACCGAGTGCTGAAGACAATGACGGCGAGGGAGACCGTGCCTTTCTGTCTGGATAGGAATGTGTCCCCTTGCCCAGGTCACAACGCTCAGTTCAGTCTGGGCCCCCGACAAAAAAACGCACGCCACTCCATAAAAACATACCAGGTGACGCTTTGTTCGAGTCGTTCATTATATCGCTGTCACACGTCGGTCCCTTTGACTTATTCAAGATGGTCAGAGGCAGACCCGAGGACCCTGTGTTGCGAAAGCAATGAATCACACTCACTTGTAGTCATCTGCAGAGTGGGTAAGCTCATGGTAATTACATTTAATCACAGTGATTACCACTAAATGTGCTCCATAATGACTCTCCTTGTGATGATAAAAAAAAAGTAAACTCTTTGGAAAGTAACTAAATTACATATAATCCATCTGGAAGTGCCGTTCATGTCTGTGTATTTTCTCCCTGCAGGTTCAGCTTACTATGACAATGTGCGGCCGTTAGCTTATCCTGACTCAGATGCTGTGCTCATCTGTTTTGACATCAGTCGACCGGAGACACTGGACAGCGTACTGAAAAAGGTCAGTGTCACGTTGTTAGATGTGTGAATGTGTCCTCTTTTTTTAATTTTAAGTGCATTTTGTCTCTAATTAGGGCAGTGTAGGTAAAGCAGCCATCTCATTACAATACTCACATTAAATATGCAGGTTGAAGAAGTCATCTCTTCTCTTTATACTGGAAATCGATTCCTCTATAGAGTGACTAGATCTACGTCATCAGAGATATACAGCTTCCAGCTTTCACCATCACGTCTGTGTTCAAGTTAAGGCCACCATGTGTTCGTTCACTGATAACCTGATCCGTCAATCTACGATAGGGGAATAAAAAGGAAACGATGAGAAAACATTGCCAGCTGTAGAGGTGGAGACTGGGATAACATTTAAGGTTGGATAATGCTTTGTGAGAGGCATACGCGGACAAGCCAACACATGAGATACAGAGATTAATGAGGATATTGGGAATGAAGTGAGATTCTGGAAGAAAAAAAGATAGATAGCACGAACAAATGGTACAGAAGGGAAAAGGGGGAAGCGATAAAGACTCAAGTAGTGTTCATGTAGCAGAGCATTACTTTGAGAGAATAGTCGTTGTAAAAGGAAAATTAGAGGTTGCAAAAATTGCTTAGGCGGAAGGTTCTCAGAGATGTCAGAACAAAAAGTGCTGTGCAGTTATTTGAGACTGAAAGCTTGCAAATGGAAAATACATTTAAAGCAAAGCAAACTGCAGAGAAACAAGACATGGCGGCAGATTGCCATAAAAAATTGAATTAGGTGCATGAGATCGTAGCAAAGGATAAGCTTTGTTTCTAAACTTTGGATAGAGTGACCGCTCGACATGTCACTTTGGCATCCCGTGCATGCATTGTAAGACCGGCACATTCACCGCGATTACTAAGGTCATTTGATAAGGTCAAAGTTGAATTTGGTTCTCAAGTGGACCCCCTGTAGACGTGAGAATTCGCTCGGCATTGGCAGATATGCGTTTTCGTCTGGTATTGATGAAGTCATTATAAATAATGGCACGGACGAGAGGAATGTGTCTTCCAAACAGAATCAATTAAACCCTTTTTCTCATGTTTTAAGAGGATTCCGGCTTTCAGGGGATTCATTTTTCCTGCTTTATTGATGGTGAAGAAATTGTTTTTTTTAATACTTCTTCTATCTGAGGCACACAGTTCCATCTGTGAGCACAGAAGCTCCAACAAAAAAAAAAGTTGGCTTAAGAGAACGTAGCTAAAACAGCTTGTGTTAGAAAACGCATGAACTCAGATGCACCTAGGTCCACTATAAGACATGATGAAGAGATAATTAATTTGAACCGTGGATCAAACAGGCAAAAATGAGCATAATGGGTTCACCTCTACCTGACTGCTGTGGTATGTGCACGTTCTTGGTTTGCACACAGTGAGAAAGTGAGGAAAGTAAAAACAACAACCTCCGTTTTTCTTTTTTGATAAACCAGCGCCTCGGCTCCAACAGCTCGCATTCTTTGTGCTGCTTACCAATTCTTAACATTAACACAGACAATAAGCCGCTCTTCCCATGGGCCCTTTGTGACTCATCTAAATTGCTGCTGTTCACCAGTTGCATGCGGTTTGGCACAGGGTCCTATTGAAAGGCAACAGCTCACTCTGCACAACGGCGCGCTAGAGCCCGTAACAGCAGCGACGCAGGCATCCAGGAGAAAAGATCTCTTTGTAAGGGAGAACAAATGGAGCAACAGTGCTCAAAGCAGTCGCCTCTGCCATGGTGTGAGGAGATAATGAAAGGAGTCTCGAAGAGAAAGAGAGCGATAGAGAGAGTTTAATAGCTTGAGTCATATTTTGGCCTGCAATGAGAATTGTCTGTCTCGGTCTTTATACAGCATTTATGTCCATGAGCATTTCCCTTTTTTCCCCCCTCTTCTATCCTTTGATTTGTTGATTGCAGTTTTCAAATACACGATGGAAAATTTAAGACATGGAGTGATATAAATTCCAGTTTCAGAGCAGTGAACAACAGTGCCAGTGTTTCATTTTAATGGTACAGTAAGCCAGAAAATACTGGTGATTGTGTGGGTGTTGCTCCAGCCTTCAACTTCAAGATTTACACATTTTTGATGATGTAGTGTTATAAAGTCTTAATATTTTACTTCCAGTGAGCCAAACTTTCTTGGAATTTTTTAAGTGATCGTGAGTTGTAGTTCTCTGGACTTGCAAAGTTTGTTTTTTTTACTTTGCCTGCTTTTTAATTCATTTTCAGTTCAGGCTGTGTAACAAAACTTTTTCAGAGGATTTTTTTTAAAGCTATAAAAACTCAAAGGATGAACCACAGTGTTATATCTACATATCGCAGAAAAGCAAAGAACCAATTTTAAATTATATCTTTAGGCACTTTACTAGTGGCCTGTCACAAAAACACATAATTTGTTCCCGTTTCCTTCATTGAATAAACAAAACAGGCATAAAATAACATATTTGCACCAACAAGTTGTTTCCCAAAGAGCTATTAGCCAAAAACGTGGCATGTTGCAGTATGACATGAGAGATGCTTCTACATCTACTGGTCACTGAAGCCCCATCAGAAATGGTCTCAGAGGAAGTGTGGCTGTCAAGAAGCTATTATTAAGGAAGGGAAACTTAGAAAGTTAGAGGTATGCCACATTACACTTGACTGAAAGTCAGTGGCATCAGGCCTTATGCCATGATGAATCCAACTTTGAAATATTTGGTTGTCAATATGTACAGAGGAGGTAAATATCAAGTGTCTATGGCCCCTGTGTTGGCTTTGAAGAGCTTTGAATGTCCTTCAAGAAGAACAGAGAATACATATAATCCTCAAAATATTATTTGGTCATACCAAAAATCCTAGAATTCCAAATAAATGGTACGAGCTGGTGCTTTTCCATGAAGAGCTCTAAAAGTCAGAACCAGAATCTTAAAACTGACAAATATTTGTACTTTCCATCAAATATGAAGAAAGGTATCAGGTAAATAACCCGGAATAGAATAAGTTGTTTTCTATGTTATTCGTTTTGTGTTGTAAAATCATTGCAGTGATTGGCTGTACATGAGTATAACAGGTATCATATTTGCTCTTTTTGATTTCTTTTATTTGGTACATTAGAACACAGAGGAATGATATCGGTAACATCTTTATTTTATTTTATTTTATTTTTATTTAACATTTCTTTAACCAGGAAGATCCCACTGAGATTAAAAACCTCTTTTTCAAGGGAGACCTGGCCAAGATAGGCAGCAGCAAGTATCTCATAGTTACAAAAATCACGCAATTAAACACAGGCAAGAAGAACACACGTATTAAAAAAACCCCATTAAAATTCAATTAAAATGATGAGCAAACTAATTGAGATAGTTTGTGAATATTATTAAGTTATTTTTTAGAAATTCATTTTATTATTATTATTTTAGATTTTAGTGTTTCTTTTACAGTTTTTATATGACCAGCCTGTCAGTTCCACATTTTGAATGCCATTAATCTGCAGTCTGTTAATCTGCAAAGAGACTACACAGATAAACTAACTGAATATCACTGCAGCACGGTGAGAAGTTAAACTGCTGGACAGCAGATTTGCAGATGGGATTAAGGCCCTCTCAAGGCAGGAGATAAGAATTTATGACCTGATGGAAAGGAACTGCTCCCAAGTCAAATAAATCTCAATTCAGCACCTCATTTATGAGCATTTTAATAATTGTAGACTGTTCCCACATGTCTGCATACACGGGCATTTTTTAAGCTGTGAACTAGGCGCCTTCATTCCAATTATGGAGCTCTTAAAGCTACAATTTAAAAATGGTAATTTAGAGAAAAATGTGCTTTGGAAATAGTTTGAGGAAGATTTTTTTTCCTCCTTTTCTCCAGTTCAGAGAGAAAGGACTTGACAAGCCTGCAAACAAATCTTACCTAAAATCCACCCAGCCTTATTTCCAAATCGTATTTACCGACATCAACAGTGCGTTCGCTTCAACCAGGTCCTAAAATCTTATGAAAGGCTTCCCAGAAGAGCATATTAGTAAGACGTTAATGTCCAAGGTTTTCAAATGAGATGCAACTATGAACATAGTGCTCAAGTACTCAGAATACTCTCGTACTGTAGCATAATAGAGGTCATGTACACTGATATATGTTTGTCTCTCTGATGCACAGTGGCAAGGTGAAACACAGGAGTTCTGCCCCAATGCCAAAGTGGTGCTTGTCGGCTGCAAGTTGGACATGAGGACGGACCTCAGCGTCATGAGAGAGCTTTCCAAACACAGACTCATTCCTGTCACACATGAGCAGGTGAGGAGTTCACAGAAAGCACCGCTCGCCTCTAAAATTTGAATGGAAATTAGCTGCTTGCCTTTTTCTGTACCCCGACAGTGCTGCAGAAATGCTGCCCGTGAGCAGTTGGTTTTTAAGAAAATTATAACTTTAAGAATATGCATGACGTATAGTTTCAAATGCACAGTTCATTGCGGTTTTCAGCTGCAGTGACATTTATTCGCCTGTAGTAGAAATTATATGGTATCAGCACAGACAAAGGCACCTATTACTTTCCTCCCTTGTGCACACAGGCAAATATTTTTGAAAGTGCATTTGAAGAATGAGACTTGCGTCAGATCATAACTTCCACAAATGTGAAAGCACAACGACTATAAAGGAGCTGGAACTGAAGGAAGAAGAAGACAAACAGCAGGATGTGCGATAATACGATTGTTTTGTTTGTGTCTTGGAGCAATGAGCAGCGGCACGCATGAATTTTAATAGCTTATTTTCATGTAAATGTGAATTTGCTCTCCTTGGCAGCCTTTTGTCAACAAATTAATATTTTCCCACATCTCTGACAAAGCAAAGGTAACGACCTGTATTGTCCTGTCAATAATGACATCAAAATTGGTTCATCACAACCTCAGATTCGTTTCTTGTTATATATATTTTGCTTTGGCTCAAAATTCATAGAGGCTTCTTATTGGACCGAAACATCAACATATTTTTTTTAAGACGTTACTGCAGCTATGCAGGTCATTTAACATGTCTTTTAATACATATATATTGAATTATTTACATCCATACGTAATCATTTTTTAGTGTTAATAGCATAGCAACCAGATAACAGTGAAAAAACAAAGGCTGAGTAATGTGCTTGTACGCCAACTGAGGATTGGTTTTCAAAGGCCTCCAAGTGATGCCTGCTGCACAAAACACTGGACTCAAGTGGTGGGCACTCAAGAGGGCAATCCAATGTAGCCCAGCCATCTGTTGCTTGCCTTTAGACACTCACTATAGGACGTTCTGATGTTTTGGGTTTTGAGGGGTTTTGTTTGGACAACAGCCCCTCAACCAGATGCCATTTGCCTCAGGAGAACCTGTTAGAGGCACGTTGCCCCAGACAATATTGCTCATGGGCTGAGTTGGGCATGCAAGCCCCATCCACTGCTACAAATTAGTGATTTTTGTGATTGAAGCTATTCATTTACCATTTATTTTATGTTCCTGCCCTTATTGCTATGGCCCTGAGCCGTTTCTAGCGGCTGAAGGAATAAAACGCAAGGGGCAGAAAGAGCTTCATCTGCAGGGTGTCCAGGTTCACTGTCAGGATTGGTGCTCTCATTTAAGCTTTCTTCCACAATCCCACACAGATGAAGTGTTTCATGCATGTCCCTGGGTCCCTGGGTCTGACTTGGGAGGGGACTCTAGTGCAGACCTAGAGGATGATGGTACAGTGAGCCGAGATTAGTCTGAAGCCAGGGCCCAGACCTGGATAAGCAGTATAAAAAGGATGAAGGGATGGATCAAGTATTGTTAATCCATATTTATTGGTTGTAATAAACATTACATTTGATATGGCCCTATAATTAAAGGTCTTATGATGGTCCTTAATGTTGCTGATTTTATATCTGTGCTGAAGACTTCTAGAGTGAAACAACGGATAAAAATGTGGTAGGGGACAGGTTTTTGATTGCCTAAGTAATTCTTGAAAGTGCGGTTTCTTAGTGGACCCTATTTAAAGAGCTGCACTGTAAACAGACTGAAACAAGCCGGGAACTTTACGTTTCACCCACTTGACCAACTGATGCGAACCCCAGGGGAGAGCGCAGTCAGCAGAACAAACCGCAAACCAACTGTGTCACTGTTGCTGTAATTGGCTTAAGGGCGTCAAAATAAACACTTGAAGTGCTGGAGCGTTTCCAGTATTACAAAAATAATACAGCTCGAGCCTTTAATATTTTTCACACGAGCAGAAGTAATGTCACCCCATATGGCAGCTAGATGCTGCTTCAATATGGTGCATCAGTAGCACCGAAGGCTGAACACCTACGCTTTCATTTGTTGTACATTTTCCAAGGAAATTGCATGATCAAAAAATAAAGAAATAATGTGACTCAAACTCAGGATGACAGAATGAAAATATTTTGTTTTGCTACCTAAATCACTAGAAAGCACTGCTGGAAAACAGGTGAGCAAAATAGTACTACATATGAAGCCGAAGCTGTCCAGATGTGAAATGGGGCTAAACCTTCGAGGGAATAAAGTTTTTGCAACTGCAAAGAAAGGCTTTGAATATTTCATAGTGTGGGGGATATTCTCCGTATGCCCTGGCTAGCAATCAGCTATCAGACCTCAGAGGTTGCAGGCTTTTATTAAGAGGGAGGTGTTAGTGCACACGACCAAGTGCAGTGTTCTGCCATCCACAGAAGCAGGGAAGGGATCGTCTAGCAGCATGTGACAATTGCTTACAATAACAAATATTTAGAGAATACTTTTAAAAATGTCCACTGTGTCTGCACTCAGAGTAATGAGTGGCTTTTAAAAATGTTGTGCTTTATTTTATTTCATTGGGTTACACAAGGCTTTACACAGAATTCTAGTGGTTCAATGTGGTTTAAGGACATCTAAGAATAAATAAATAAAATAAAGCATAGTTTCCACTACATGACCCATCTCTCATCCACACACAAGGTTTTGTATGTTTTTAGCTCTAAGTACTAGCTCTCAGCAGCTCTTTAGGTGAGTCAGTTGCTTTTGGATGACAAACAAACATAAACTAAGCTGTATTTCAAAGCTACACTACACGGCATTTTTATAGTAACAGAAAGAAGTGACTGGATGTATTGTGAAGGCTGTTTTTTGCCTTGAAGCGTGTGCACCAAACCTTAGAACATGCTTTCAAACTATTCTTCTCTCAAGCCATTGTCCCACGGGAACTCTGTATGATATTTCGAGAATGAAGTTGAGATGCATGTGAACACAGCAGGCCACTGTTAAGGTCAGATCTTTATGCAGTACTCAAAAAACTCAATTCGGTTTAGGTGAGGGATGGTGATTGAGTTGAGATTGCGCGCGGTAGTCACATGATGCACACTCGCTCGTTGTGAATTCTCAGGACAATTTAAAAAATGTTGCTCTTGGGGAGCTTAAAGGGTAAAGCCTGTTTATTGGTGGGTCTGTTTAATATGTCTGGCATATATGTCTGCCTGGTAGCATCTGTGCATGTTCAGGTTTGAAGGGCGTAAATAAAAATGCTTAGTGTTAGAGTCACACTGGGACAAAGAGTGGTTGGAAATGGCAGCACGAACAAAATTACTGCAGCTGTTGCCTTTAAGATGGTTTCTTAAGAAGATGGGAATAACATCAACAAACACTTGCAGTCTTTAGTGCATTAAGGTGACAGAAAAACTCCAACAAGACTGATTCAGTCTGCTATCAGTCTGCAACTTGACACAATTCAATCTGCTTTAAAAAATTCAATCCTGATGTAGTTCATGCAGGATGGTGATTTAACTGTAAAGTGCCATAAGTGCTCAGCGACATTGCTGTTATAAAGGAATATAACCACAATACAACCAGTTGGCAGCCAGTTTAATCGAGCCCCAATTATCAAAGAGACACATATATTATAAATTAGATGGCAGTTATTTGCAAATATTTGCCAATCTGTCGGAGAATGACTGCAGTCAGTCCAAGTGGAACTGCAGTTGTTTGGTGACTGTGGTCTCCCGCAGTTTGAGGCTGTGGGATTCTGAAAAATCAGCACTCGGTCTCAAAGTGTGAGGTGGAAAAAAAAAATCAGTACAATCATCCGGAAACCACCGTGCTATTTTCCCTCTGCTGTGACTGACTGACATTAAGTAAATGCAGAATGAGTGAAAACAGCCAAAATGACAAATCATAAAACGGTACTTGCCAACCTGCTTTGCATATATCCATAGGTTTATTTTATACTATTTCCAAACTGTGTGTCTCACATTGAAATGTTATGATGAAATGCATGCAGATGGGGCCAAACGACATGCTCGTAGGCAGGAGGCCGTAAACACAAAAAGCAAGCCTTTATAAAATAAACACAAGATAACACTGCAAGGAAACACACAAGGCACAAACAAAGCTAGAACACAGTATGGCACAACAAGGTACTTGGTCAAAAGGAGGCTTTAAATAGATACAGAAGGTAACTGGGTTGAGTGGACACACTGGGTAAAAAGACAGCTGAAAGTAATAAAGGAAGTAAAACTAAATACAAGACACAACCTGCAAAAGCCTACCAGAATAAAGCTAACAGAGACGTATTAACAGAGATGCAGACTTAAAAGACTCAAAAGGATTCTAGATTAAAACTAAAACCTCATCTTAGTTTTATTTACTAGAAAAAGTGATATGAAGCAATTGCTGTGTTATTCCTTGTGATGGTGTAATAGTGTCAGCCATATGTAGTAAATACTAGTTGCATGTGTGACTGCACTCAGATTGGAGCCACTCAGACACGAACCCAGTAAGAATGATTAGCCGGCTACAGCTCGCCTCTGCAGGGTGAAGTGTTATACTATTAACTCATTGTTCTGGTTTTCTGACCCACAGCTTCGTTTAGCTTTTAGCACTCTTATGAACCTTTTTTGGAAAAGCAGCAGGAGGCAGAAAATGTTTTCAGTGAAAAAAAAAAAACTAAATTTTTTTAAAGGCAGATAGAGAGCTAGGAACTAACTATTGAAGGCGCTGTAACATAAAGCTGCAATAGCCACGGATTTCCCTCTAGAGACGAAAATCAAACGAGAAGGAGGCTGAATATTAGATGGAACCTAAAATGTGGTAACATTACAGCTCATTAAGAAGTAATAATATATCAGTTGTGTGTTTACATCTTGTTTTGCAGTGTTCAAGTGGTCAAAACATCAATTTTAAGTCTTGGCTTTTCATTTTTAATCCTGACTAACTCACATTCTGTGCTTTTAGGGAACCACTTTGGCGAGGCAGATTGGCGCCGTGGCCTATGCAGAGTGCACCTCAAAGTATTCGGAGAACAGCGTCCGCGATGTATTTCACGTCACCACCCTGGCATCTGTGTCCAACATTCATCGGCCTCAGCTCAAACACGCCGGATCACGCCACGGCCTCAAACGGGTTTCCCAGCAGCCACCTCGGACTGAGATTCACGAGCGTCCGCCTGCCATTAGAAAGGACCGAGCCAAAAGCTGTGTGCTCATGTAGGACCAGAACCTACCTGCTGCCTGATCTGTGTGTGTGTGTGGGTGTGTGTGTGTGCTGACGGAGCATGCCACACATGAACTTAACTTATTGGTGAATTGTTGTCAGATTCTTTGCACTGCATAAAGGACGATGTGATAAAAGCGAGAACGGATGCTATCCTGAGGAGGTCTTTGAAGGGTTGTTTGTCCATTTTTAGCAAAACTCTGCTTTTTACTTTTCTTTGTGGCTGTGCGCTCATCAGGGGAGGACATCGTAGCGGCAAAAGCAAATTTCTTTAACGCTTGTACCTGAACAAGTGGACAAAAAAACTGATAAATTAAAAACAAGACACAAAATAGTGCATAGGGAGATGAAAAGGAAAAAAATATATATTTGAAAGATCGTCTTACAGGAAGCAGCGGTAACCGTGCTGGTGTTGACCTCTATTATTGTTGTTTCCTGTTTTGAAATGCTCCTCTGTCTTCAAGTGTTTAAGCAAATGAAGCACAATACGATGCACGCAAAGCGCTCTGAGAAGTCTGTAAATGTCAGGGAATGAACTCTGCTCTCCCCGCTGTGCATAACAAATTAAAAATGAAAATCTGGACTCGTGGGCTGAGATGACACTAATTTTCTTAAACCACAAGTGCTTTTAATATTGAAAAACGAAATAATCACTCACCACATAATATTGTTGTGCTGTGTAATTACTGTTGTTCAAATAATCAACACTGGAAAGGAACGTCACAGAGGGCGTTGAGATGAATATTATGTTGTACATGTGATAATGAAATAAAAAAAAATCGTCTCTGCTAAGTGTTGGAAGATCTTTAATGTGACATATTCATCTGCTGGATGCTTGTCAAAGCTAAGAAACTGCACCTCAGTTTCAAGACATTTTCTTGCCCAGACAAGAAAATATCTCTCTGAAAAATAAAAAATCATTCTGCCTGCAAAGATGTGGCTTTAAATTTGAAAAAGGTGAAAAATAATAAATGAGACAAAAAGTACACACAATGCTTCGGAGCAGCGCAGACCCACAAAACCTGCAAATCCTACATTTCTGTAATCATGGGTCTGTGATCGTGGCAGCAGCTCTGTGAAGCAGTACTTCAGCACAGCAGTGCTTTCAGTTAAATGTGAACATGCTGACTCACCTGTATGTCGGTGACCTGTCATGTAAATGGACTGGTGCCTTTCGACTCTGTTAAGAATTCAAAGCTCTTTCTACTGCAGGTCTCATTCCCACACAATCACAAATAGATTCATTCTTTTATTTATGCTTACATGCACTCGCACTCTATCGGGGGCAACTCTGGGTTCAAGGATACTTCGGCATGTGGACTTTCCAAATGGTAGATGAACCTCTGCCACCTGAGCCACAGCTGTACAGTAGTGCTGCTCATCTACAGAAAGACCACCTATGACAATTTGATGTCAGCAGGAAGTTTCTTGGGTAACCGTTCAAATGGTGTGGGCAACTCGGTCGTGGGTTGTCCCAGCGCTTCGCACACTTTCATCACACACGTGCAACTCAAACGCTCCTTGTGATCCTTTTTCACTGCGGTGTCTCCTAACCAGTCTGCTGCGTGCTCTGTTACTTTCTACTACCTCCTCTCCGGGTCCCAGTGAGTGCAGATCAGTGAATAACCACACAGTATAACATGAATTTAAAGTGTAACCCGAATGTTTTCTCAAACAAGTTTGATTTGAAACAGTTACTGGAGTGGTTTTAAAAAGGTCTTGACTAAAAGAGGCATTAATAATGAAAACCTTGGTGTTTGTACACTAAATAAAATATCAGTAGTCTAATTGCTGACTCCTTAATGGCAGCAGCTATTAGAAACCTACATTAGTCTGAAATTCAGTGGCTATTTTGCACACACTTATACAAAAAGTTGAAATATATATGTAACATGAATACACTGTATTTCCTGAACGTAAAGAAAAAAAAATAATGCAGTTGGTTTTGCTGCTTTTATGAGCCTTGTAGTCTGACCTTTAACTGTTACTTTTGTTCCATTTTGTTTCCTGCCACCATGGATAAGGCCCCACAGCAACTCTCTGCCTGTGCGAGTACAGCAAAGTGACATTTTGCGGCATCACTGCCATGTTGCCACGCAGGGAGCGTTAGGTCACTCCACACGCTAGAGGCCAGGCCGGTGCAAACACCCTGTCGGGGGGAGATGATGTCCACACCAACGAACGGAGAGAAGAAAATCTGCTCAGTAAACTCTTGTATAATGATTCGCACTAATACGATGTAATTCTAAATAGAGTACATATGTAAATATAGTTACAATACTGGTATAGGTGTAGTAGTTTCATGCAGTATTGTCCTGTGGCGGCTGGACTCTGCCGGGGCTGCCCTTTATCACTGACTCTTTACATAACTTATATGGACAGATTTTCTAGGGATAGCAAAGGCAGCATTGAGTTCCCAGTTTGGTGGCCTCTGTATTACTTCTTTGCTTTGTGTGGAGGATGAAAGCTTGCTGGCTTCAGCAAATGCTGATCAGCTCATGCTGGGAGTGCAAAGTGGCTGACAGCAGAATTAGCACTTCCAAAAATGAGGCCATGGGTTTCAGCCTGAAAAGGGTGGAGCTCTTTCTCCAGGTTAGTGAGGAGCTCACCATCACATGTTGGAGTTCAAACATCTTGAAGTCCTATTCATGAGTGAGGGGAGGTTGGAGCAGTACCTGCAATGATATTGATGCTTTACCAGCTTTTGTGTGGTGAAGAGAGCTGAATATGCTGCTCCTCCAAATTAAAAAGGGCCCAATTACGGTGATTCTAGTAATCTGATTCGATTTCCTCCTGGACATCTCACAGGTGATGTGTATGAGCATACCAGGAGAAGACCCTGAGGCAATCTCAGGACATGCTGGGAAGATTATGTCTCTTGACTGGCTTGGGAATGCTTCAGTGTCCTTGCAGAAGAGCTAGCGGCGTCTGGTTAGTGCTGCCGCTGTGACCGAGACTCGGATAGAAGGCTTGTTAGAATAATAGCATAAAAAGCGAGTAGTTTCTTTTATAATAGAAGGACCATGAGTAAACAGGAACTAATTAGATTATAATTTCGACTACACCAGCGAAAGCACCCCTCAAGGATCAGTAAAATCAAGTGTCAGCCTTTTTCTGCTGTTTCTTTGATGCTGCACTCAATGTGAACGACGTCACGTAATAGGCTCTCCAACCTCTCGGCTGAAGTGAGTAAACATATTTAGCAAACAGTCATCTCTCCTGTCCTTGCAGCCTCACCTGGCTCTGTAACATTCCCAGAGGTGGGAAATAACAAAATGCAAATACTTTGTTACTATGCTTAAGCGAATTTTCAACCATCTTGTACTTTACTTGGCTATTTATTTTTCAGATTTTTTTTTTACTTCCTAGATTTAAGAATAAATATTTTCTACTCATTATTTTTAAACACCTTGTTCCTTTAAATCCTTTCGGTGTAACACTACTTCCTGGACATACTTTCCAGTTCCTCCTGGGGAATCTCGAGGCATTTACAGGCCAGACAAAATACAAAATCTCTCCAGAGGGTTTTGGGTGTGCCTTGGGGTCTCCTCCCCTTTGATGCTGCCCAGAAAGGCTCCAAAGGGAGGAGCACAGGAAGCATCTGAACAAGATGTCCGAATCACCTCATGCTGCTCCTTTTTTTCCAAAAAAAGAGGAATGGCTCTACTTCAAGATCCCTCCGGATGTCAGAACTCCTCTATCTCCTCTGTCCTTGGTTTTATGTAAGACCATTATCAGCTGAAGATTTTAATTTGTGTAATGCTTTGGCTTACATCCAAGTTGCTGCTAAACACTCTTTGATATTTTACTAAAAAATAGAAATAAAAAAATAGCTCTTTTTGCACTAGACAAAACAGAAAAAGTCATGAGATCACTAAAGTCAGCATGCTTTATCCTCTGGGAAACCACCCTGCTAACCTGGCTAAAGATTCCTGACTCGGGTGAAAATATCAGCTAAGCAAGCATCTGTTCTGCACACCAACCTGAATGGAAAAGGACAAAAAGCAGCATTTTCTTCTAATCTAAGGCGATGCAAATGGAAGCTATGTGATAACAGAACAAGAGTGGCCTGCTTATGAGACCTAAATGTGTATCCCACCACTGCATGCACTGTTTTTGATGAAAGAGCACATTCAATAAAACAGAGTCCCAGTGGTTAAAGTCTGTATATGAGAAGCTCATGCTTTACAAACCTGTAGCTCATGCATGAAATGTGCAGAATCATCTTCAGAATGACAGAAATTATTCATTTATGTCTTCTTCCCGAAGGAGAAAATTCTCTTTTAGCCTGTTGTTCTAGTGACGGCTGAGCTGGTAGGCACCCGCCCTGTTGCACACAAGATAAAAAGTAACTTTCTCAATTATGTTTAGGGGTTCTGGCGTCAGCGTGATTGAATTACAGCTCTCAGGTAGGAGGATGATTACAATTAGACAAGTGGTTCTCAGTCCTCCGTATTCAGAGGCCTGCTGTTTCCAATCTAACCGCCTAATCAAAAGGCATTTATCAACTGAAAGTGTTACACTGAGGTAAAAATGAACTCTACCAACAGCCTCTAGGTTTCGAGACGGCTTGCATTACACAAGTCCCTTGTGGAGTAAATTAGCCACATATAAAATAAAAATGTTTTTATACAGTTGTGAAAACTGTGACATGTAAAATCCATTATGGTTTCATGGGAAAGTTTTTTCGTACACTTTTGAGCGAGACGGGAAACTGGTCGGGTGAATTGCTTCTCCTGCTTTATTATTATATGCACCATTATCTTGATACAAACACACTCTGCAGGGGGTCCATTTTTCATTTTAATTCTGCTATAAAGTAGCACTGATCACTGACCACCGAGGCTCAACCCTTTTGCATCTTTAATGTCCTTCCTGCCTGCACAGTGTCAGTAGCCATAAAACTGCACCCTAATGCTCCGAGGGTGGGATGTGGCCGACAGGGCTGCTCTGTTATAAGTTCAATTTTACTCAAATCTCTGCTTTTGAGACCACAAGGCTGGCAACAAGCATCGGCTACCTAATATAAGGCAACGCAATAACAACACTGGGGTAATGGCTGTCGTGTCAGCGGGATTCATTAAAAATGCAGGAGTCATTTAAACAGTATGTAAAATTGAGCAGATTAAAAATATATGTGCCCCGTGTCCACGAGCCGAAAGGCTGCATCTTTGCATCTCCGGCTCTGAGTAACAATGAAGGCAACGACTTTGTAAAAGCACACAGATATGCAATGCAATACATGCAGGGAGCAGGTTTACAGTAAAGACTGTGTACAGACTCGTAAAGGCATCATTAATAAATGGTCAATTGGTAGTTAATTAAATTTTAGGTAAGTCAATGAAATTATACACACTTGGTTTGTAAAGAGAATCCAAATAATGTTCACAGAGCCTGTTAAGATATTTACTTTTGTTTTTGCTGCTTGTTTTTCATAACTTTTACAAGCTGTCTGGTTGGATTTAGATACCAAAAATATCCTTTTAACCCAAAGCAACGAGATTTCTGTTTGGACAAGTAATGAGGGAGACCTGCCAGGGACCGTTGCTAAAGGACAGCTTGTGCAGGAAGGAGGATCGTCTCACTGGTAAATAATAAAAGGCTTTATTGCAAAACAACAATAACCTTTCTTAATCATTAATGTATAGCAAGTTGTGCGCCAGTGTCACCAGCATGGAAATGTTCTTTGCTCTTATCAGCTATGCTATCATGGATATTACTAAACTCACTGACCACTGCATTAGGTATACCTGTTCAGCTGTTCATTAT